TTTCTGGCACTGCTAACAGATAAAACCGTGAGGAGAACACTTTTTTCCGTTCTCAAAGCCCTAAGGTCAGGGTAATCAGACGCCACGGGCAACAGCGTGGCCTTAGTGAGGGAGTTTCGACTAGCCTGACGCAAAGGCCAGCTAACTGGGCCCGGCCCTTACATTGCCCACTCTCTGGAGATCTGAGCTGAAGAAAAAAATCTCCAAAATGAGACAAGTAAGAGATACCCCATGAGCAAGACATGGCCCCCCTTCCCATTCCTCCAGCTCCGGCAGACGATGTTCTCCTCAATCACGGCTCATCTCGCACATGCCCTCCATGTTAAAACCACACCAGCGCTCTTCGTGCTCCTTGATGATGCTCCGCTGGTTGGCCTTCCCCCCGGGCTGCTGGTGCGTGTCCTGCAGAGGAGGGGGTGAAGCTTGGGGGAAAGGCTACCAATCATGAAGTGTCAGGCTTGGGGCATATGATTGTACACTGTGTCAAAGCTAGACAAATATTTGCCCCGCGAGGCTCGGGGGATGCAGTTTCTCACTTTGTTACATGAGCTGTAGCTTCACTCAGCATGCTGGCTCGCTACCTAACTAAGGAGAAGGAGGGCCGTGTGACATCTGGAGGCTCCTGTGAAACTCTCCAACATCCATCAGGGCAAACACACTCTGCTGGTGGCTTGGAATGTGATGTTAGCACTGCGCTATTCCCTTCGGAATACAAAGCAATGCTGGAGAAATGTGTAAATCTCAAGGATGGGCATGATAAGGTCAAGGTTAAAGGTTAAATTTGAGATAGATAAACAAGACAATATGATTACCTCCTAAAAACAGAATATTAGGTCCTGCTTAACCCCAAATCTAGTTTAACACGACCTCTGACGGTTTCTTGTTTTTATAAAACAGCGATATGATAGACATAAATATTCAATAATTACATTAATTAATTACAGCTGAAATGTAGAAATCGGCAACATTAACATGGAATTTGACTGATGTGTGGCCATTGGAGATTGGCTATTTTGCAACAATTTCGAAAATGGCTCACCCGATCAGATTTCACATGACATGTTTAGTCAGATTTATTAATCTTCTTCATCATTTCCTATCCTTAAAAAAAGAAAGCTCACTGGAATGATCATGTCATTTTAAATTAATAATAATAATAATAAACATAAAAATGTATCTAATAATAATAATACATATTTTAATTTGTGATTATTTATTTTTTAAATAATGTATTGACACGTCTTCCTTCTCTCCTTCACATAATTTCATGATCTCAATTGACTGTTTCTTTTAATAAAAAGAAAGCTAAATGGAACAATCATTTGATTTTTAATGAATGATAAGTTTAACATAAAACATAACATTTAGGGCTGTCAAATTGATTAATCGCCTCCAAAATAATAAAAATAAGTGTGTTTACATAATATATTCAGTTTGCACACACACACACACACACAGGATGCAAGGAGATGCACTCAAAATTGAATCAAGGAGAAACATGTTACACAGAACTTGCTACCTCAGAGAAACATGCTACACTCTTATCTAACTGAAATCATGATCAAATTAGTCTAAATATATGTACGACGGACAAATACTGTGGAAATCTTTAAAGCTTTCTGTGAGCACAGATTCCATGTGGGCCTGCTAATAACCATAACTGCACCTGTTAATAAAAAGCAACATTAATATATGCTGCACACTGCTATGAAACATCAAGAAAAAAAGTCATTTGTGATTTCTTAGTGTTGCTCAATAATCACAGATGAAACTTCCCATTGAGATCATACACAGACCACAAACTGGCGAGCACACAAGACTATAAAGGGCTCAAGGCAGTGCGACACATTCACTGCACATAACCGTAAAAGACAAGAACAGCTAATCTCTCCAGTTATTTACAAGCTGCTGGTCCTTAACCTGCCATCAATGAAAACATGAGCTGCTTCATAGTAAATCCTTACAAAAAACTTCAAATAATGTCAAATAAATTAGTTTCTACGGCAAGCACAGAAACAAAAAAAAGAAAGAATAACCCGCATATGCATATCCGTTTATTTTCTTTTATTTTTCCCTTTAAACTGACATCCGGAAAGAGATCTGAGAGAGATCGGGGCAATAAAGTCTCGCTTTTCCATCTGTCTGCTTCATTTGAAAAAAAAAATGGCCTCCTTGTGATTCAGATATATACGGCACTCGAGCCGCTCCACATGGCAGCTGTAGGTGACCGCAGCCACATCGAGTCTCTGGGGCCGAGGGATCGCACTTCATATTTCGCCGCCCTCTGTGCCAGTCTCCAGTCTGTTCACCCCTCATTTAGAGTCCCTATTTGAGCAGAGTGGCTAGTGGAAGAGAGGAGGATAAAAAAAATCAATTCATATTTCCATAATCCACAGTCCTGTCTGTCTCCATCTCTTCCCTCGCCCTCTCTCTCGCTCCCCTGGGGTAAAGTAACCCCTCCACCCCGATCTACGGCCTACAACTGTCATTACGCACTGCAACAATAAGAGGATAAACAAAGGAGGCCTGTAGAGATCGGAGCTGCTGCTGCCATATGCTGGCTAACTTGGGGGAAAAAAAGGATTTCAGCGGATAGAAAGGGAGCAGCCATACAAAGACGTAAAAAGAGCCTAATCCTGGTAATGAGGCGACTCAATGAGAGCCTTTATGTCAATGTGGAAAAGGCCGATCCATCTGTACACATCTTAAGCTAGAAACGATCTTGTCACCAAACAAGACTTTTCTGGAGGACTAGCGTGGTAGAGTTTTTTTAGTCTTTTTATTTAAAAATCACACTTCTCACTTTTTGTTCTTGCAGGCCAAGAAAAGAGTTTCTGAAGCATCTCTGCAAAAGCCTGATGAAGAGCAAAGTGCACATGAAAGCCAAAGGCGGTCACGTCTCCTTTCTTTTGTTCTCATTTTAGTTCATAATGAACCGTCCGATTTGCTTTGCGCGAGAGGAGAGGCTTGTGCATGAAGACCTTGAGGCCGAGCGAGCAGAAAAAAAGTGTGAAAACTGCAGCGGTGCGCTATGACCCAGAACCAAACCCACTGCTCCTTGTGCAGAGAACACACAAGACATGAACTACACTGAAGCTCCAGACAACAACAACATACATGCAAACATTTCAATTCTTCTTTTACTGATCATAAAGTTCTGCAACACCTACTTGAAAGAAGTGTAATTAAGAGGGAAATAAAATGATCAATTATAAAGATTTTAAGGTTTTAAAAGCACTTATAATTAATGCTCAATTGATTTTTAACATCAGATGCCAATAGGTAGGTAGGTAGGTAGGTAGGTAGTAGGGGTGCAATGGTTCAACTTACTCACGGTTCGGTTTGTATCACGGTTTTAGAGTCACAGTTTCGGTACGGTTCGGTATGTGCTATGTTTAAGGAAAAAGCTATATTGTCAAATAAAAATAAAGAAAATAAGAACAAATAATCTAACTACAAGTAACAGCACAAATAAATAAACAGTGAAAAAAGATACAAATAAAATAAACAGTGCTTTTCAGTTTTTTTAGGTAGGTGTAACATAGTTTTACAGAAATTGAATAAATCAAATGTAAAATAACATTGCATATTTGACTGTATAAATTAAAGATTAATCCTTATTAAAGTTACAAAAGTTATTCAATCAAGAGCAGTGAGAGATTTCCGTGTTGTTGCTGTTTGATTAACATTAAGGAAGTGCTGTCACTTTAAGAGAATGCACTGATCCAGTGCACTGATACTGTACGTTCAGTCGACTATGTCTGCTAGGATACTCACCAAGACGGGTATTTTGTCATAAGTTTTGTGTGAATTTGTCCATTTAAACACAATACTTCACAGAGAGCTTAATATTTGTGCGCGTCCTGAGACGCGGGTTCACGCGCTTCGGATGAGCGCACACACAGATCTTCTCACTGCGCACGAGTTCACGTCTTCTGGCTCTTTAATATTTAAACTGGCAAGGCTTAAATGAGTTTAGTTTAAACACATATGTGCTGTTCAGGTCTCACCTGCGCTATCAACACGTGATGACGGCATAAATGACAGTTATTCCAGCATCGATTAAAGAGTGACTGGTTTGTCCACGTATTGCTTTTTTTCTCTCTCATCTTACAGATACATTGTGAGATTTAAGTTGAACCGCGGTCCTAGTGTATGCCGAACCGTGTGTGAACAACGGTACGGTTCGATTTTTTACCAAGAACCGTTGCACCCCTAGTAGGTAGGTAGGTAGATAGGTAGACAGGTAGACAGTTAGACAGAACGACAGACAGAACGACAGACAGATTTACTATTTAATTACTTAATTTTTTAATTAAACAACAAATAAGATGTACTCAAAGCTGCTGAATCATTAGATTTTTCATAATATTCATAGAATGAAAATGTATATAATATTTATTTTTGTTTAATATTTAAAAAAATAAAATAAAATAAAAAATACCTTTAGACAAAATATTAATATTCATTAAATTATTTTGAAAATATATTCAAAATCAAATATTTTTTTAAATTAATATTTAAAAAATAAAAATTAAATAAAAAAAACAATACATTTTGAAGTAGACACAAGGTAGAATGTGAAGTGATCATCTCAAAAAAGCCAAATATCGACTGTTTAGGCTGGTATATCACTCTCTCAGTACTCTTGATCACACTTATTATGCATTACTAGTGTGATATAGTACTAACTCATGAGCGACACCGCTGTACTGGTGTGAGATACAGCAGTGGGTGTACGAAGAAGCTCCATCCGCACCCATTCACATCACAGCCTGCTGATAATTACCAGAACAACACTTATTGAAGACCTGCTCACCGCATTTCATTATCAGCAACATCACACTGCATGGCAGAAAGAGAGAGATAGAGAAAATGAAGGAAAAGAGGAAGGAGGGAAGCCTTTAGGAGCAGGAGGGGTCATGGATGTGGTGCTGGTGGAGTGGTGGTGGGGGGATGGGGTGTAAGGAGAGAGAAAAAAAAGTTCCTCTGTCTCCAACCTGGTCTCCAAAGTCCTGAGGGAACTTCCACAGCACTGTCGGATCTGTAAGAAATTGACAGACAGCATTAATCAGCAACCACGCACCGTTCAGAACACATACATATTAATGAAGGGGGTGGGGGCAAGGGTGGATTCTCCTATGTGTCGGCACACCGCGGCAACGAGCGGAGGCATAGAACGTTCTGCATATGCAAATGACATCCGGTTAGATAGAGGCCTTTAGAAACACAGAGAGACATAGACAATACTCGACTACCTGCAGAAACAGCAGATGTGTGGCGCTGCATTAATATTTCACACCTAAATTTGTTAAAGGAAAGCCTTTACTGCAGTAGTTTAATAATATAATGTTCGCATTGAAATTTATACTGAAAATACTATTTTTTATAAGAATTAATTATATTAAATATATTAATTTTATTAATTAATTAAAATAATTTATTGTGTGTGTGTGTGTGTGTGTGTGTGTGTGCGCGCACTGTAGGCTATATTTTAACTTAATCATTCTAATTATTATTTATTTTTCTTTAATATGTCATGTATATTTATATATGAAATAAATAAAAAAATAAAATAATATTATTATTTTGTATTTGTTTTATATAATAATAATAATAATGTATACATTTAATTTGT